GGAGCCGGTGCCCCCGCGGAGACTTCACAGAGGACACAGGCTCTGCTCTCAGGGAGCTTCCAGGCTTGAAAGGTCCTAGGTTTATCCGTAGCCAGGCACTGCCAGGGGAACACACGTGGGAAGGGAGAGGAGGCAGAGCCGGGCTGCCTGGTTGGTCCCCAGCAGGTCACTTCCCCTAGCTGAGCCTCCATTTGCCCACCTGTGAACTGGTGATCATAATCTCCACCGTCAGGGCGTCTGGGGGGCTCGGTCGGTTAGGTGTCCGCCTTCAGCTCAGGTCATGAGCCCAGGATCCTGGGATCGAGTCCCCGTCCAGGCCCTGCTCAGCAGGGAGTCTGCTTCTCCCTCTGCGCCTCCTCCCTGCTCGTTCTCTCTCTCTCTCTCTCAAAAATAAATTTTAAAAATCTTAAAAAAAAAATAATCTCCCCCTCAGAGCTGAGGAGATTAAAAGATACTCACTTACTCGTTCATCTAATAGGGTGATGAGTAAACCTGCTGTGTGTCAGGGGCCCGAGCAAGAATTCTGAGATCTATAAGTAAGGGCAAGGCAGACAGTGTAACAAGTAGGTAATAAATCCTGCTTTCCATCTGTTCTAGGACGCACGTTTCCCCCACTGCGTGTTATACTGTAATTTAGCAGCGTTGTTTGGAATGTAACATAAAATAATGGTGCATCTAACAACTGATGTCTTCTTAGAGTTGATGAAATAGGGTTATGTAATTTCAGACGTGCTCGGTGCTGACAGGAAAGTAAGGCAGAGCAATAGGTTGGGGAGGGACTCAGGCTGGGGCATTTAGGATAAGATGGTCAGGGAGGGCCTCTGTGAGGAGGTGGCGTTTGAGCAAGGAAGGATAGGGAGAGCATGCCAGGCAGAGGGAAGAGCAAGGCTGGAGGCCTTGAGGCAAGAGCAAGCTTGGTATCAAAACGCTGTCCCTGAAAGCAGAGCAGCTTAGTGCATGGCGGGAAGAGGGCCTGAGAGGTTGGTAGGGACCCGACTGTGTAGAAGTCTCTAGGTCGTACTTAGAGTCGGGACTGTTCCAAATATGATGTGCAGGGTCTGGAGGGATTAAGTGGGTGGAGGTATATGATCTGATCAATATTTTTTAAAAATCACTCTGGCTACTGGGTGGAGAATAGAGGAGTGAGGACAGACAGAGGGGGACCAGAGAAGGTGTGGCTCAGCCCAGGGTGACAGTGGCGGGGGTAGAAGGAGTGATCAGATTCTGGGGATATGTTGATGGTGGAGCCAGCAGGAGTTGTTGATGGACCAGATATGAAGTATGAGACAAAGGATGGCATCAAGGTCACCTACAAGGTTTTTGAGCAGAGTAACTGGAAGAATAGGGTTGCTGTGTTCTCAGAAGGGGAGGCTGTAGGAGGAGCAGGTTTGCGGGGGGGGGCGGTCCCATCAGGGCTCAGTGCGGGATGTGGGGAGTTTGAGCTGCCTCTTGGACTTCAAGTGACGATGTTGAGCAGGCAACCCGATGTGGAAGTCTGGAAGTCACAGGTGAGGTCTGGGCTGGTGATCTGTATTTGGGAATCCTTAGCAAGAAAATGGGTGTCAAACATAGTGCCTGGCCCAGAGTAAGCCCCCAGTGACAAGTGGTCACATAGAACAGTATCTATAGGACAAGGTCGAAAGGAGATCAGTCTGAGAAAGGGGCTGGAGGAGATGGGAGAGGTTCCAAGCTGTACCTCAGAGGGTGGGTTCCGCAGTCAGCAGTCAGACTGGGAAGGTCTGGGCCACCAGGTTCTGCCCCTTTGCTAACCTGCAGTGAAGAGCAGCGGCCCCACAGTGAGCTAGTGAGCCAGGCTGGGCCAGGCCCCGAGCCCTAAGAACAGTGGGCCAGGGACTGCCAAGCAGCATTCAGGCCTGAGACCCCACTGGAAGAGGTGGGGGTTAAGGAAGGGTGCTGAGCAGCCAGGGGGACCTTAGCATGAGGGCAGGGGAGTCACCATGCCATGCTGCAGGGCCAGCACCTTTCTCCTGCATTTCCCCACTCTTGGCTGCATTTGATTCTCCTACTCCCTGTGAGGGCTTGGAGCAGGTCCTCCATTCCCAATTGCAGATGCAAAGAGACCCAGAGAAGACCCAGCTTTCCCTACTCCCCATGTCTTTCTGTGGCAGGGCCTGGCTGGGGAATGGGGCTCCTTCGCCTGGGCCTGGGTGGCACCTTGGAGATCCCCTGCCTCTCTCCTCGCTGAGCTCCTTCACGGATGCCTGTGTCTGGTCCCACCCTCCACAGGCATGACCCACGAAGACATCGTCCAGGAATCCAAGAAGTACTGGCAGCAGATGGAGGCCCATGCAGGGAAGGCCAGCAGCGGCTTGGTGAGGCCCTGGATTGGCGTTGGGGGTGGGACCAGGTCCCCGAGGGCCATTCCCCATCCCTTTAATGGAATCTGATTTCAGACTTACCAGGAAATTATCAGAATAGTACAAAGAATTCATGTATACCCGTTTCTGGATTCCCCGGATAGTAACCATTTTACCACGTTCCACACTTGCTTCGTCCTGTGTGTGTGTGTGTGTGTGTGTGTGTGTGTGTGTACGTCCACACATAGACACTTATATACAATTATATACATAGCTTCTTCTGAACCATTTGAGAGTAAGTTGTAGACATGATGCCATATCACCCCTAAATACTTCGCTGTTTCCTAAAAATAAGGACTCTGTCTTACATAATAACCACAGGACAATTATCAGCACCACAGAACTAACATTGGGGTAATTTTTCAGATTATGGTGTCCTATTACTTAGATTTTGTGCATCATCCCCAAATCCCAAGTGATGCTGCATTCATTTGTTGTGTCTGTCTACTCTCTCTCTTTGTTTTTTAAGATTTTATTTATTTGAGGGGCGCCTGGGTGGCTCAGTTGGCTAGGTGACTGCCTTCGGCTCAGGTCATGATCCTGGAGTCCCTGGATCGAGTCCCGCATCGGGCTCCCTGCTTGGCGGGGAGTCTGCTTCTCCCTCTGACC